CGGAAAACGAGCGGTGATTTTCTCGCGAGTAACGCACGAACTATCTTCCGTCGTTACCCCAGTAATCTAAGCAGTTACGAAGGAGTACAGCATCCAGCTCATATCGGACGGTAGCATCGCCATCGAATCGGTCATCGTCAAGGTGTCCGGGGAGGAAGGCACGGAGAAGAGCGTGCTCGTGTCCTGGCCGTACCAGGACGAGGAGCTGGGAAGCTATCTGTTGAACCTCATCCAAACGTTGGCTTCCTGATCCAGTCGGTCGGTCGTGTCGCGATGTCGCATAGCCGTGCTGAGCCGTATCCTCCTCCTCCTCACCCTCTCTCATTCTCTCTTCCCTCTCTCGTCCCATCTCTCTATTCCTCTCCCCTCTCTCCTTGCCTCTCCTTCCATCTACCATCTCTCCTTCCCTCTCCCCTCTCTCCTTCCACCTCCCCTTCTCCCTCTCTTTCACCTCTCTCCCCTCTCTCCTCCTCTCTTCTTGCCTCTCTCCTCCTCTCTCCTCCCCTCTCTCCCCTCTCTCCTCCTCTCTCCTTGCCTCTTTCCTCCCCTGTCTCTCGCTGGCGTCCTGATTCAGTCAGTCGGTAGTGTCGACATCCCGAGAGAGAAGAAGTCGGCCAGTTTTTCTGATGCAGTTAGGTTTTTGACTGAATGCAGTGACATTTCTAACATCCAGAGAGAACAACTATCGGATATAGTTGATAGATGTACATGTACGATTGTAGATGAAGTTGATAGGACATTTACCTAACTAGTAAGCGCGTTGTATATAGAGCAGATACAGCGGCAGGTCACAGAGTTCTTGGACAGAGTTCTTGGATAGGGCTGACACCGATGTATATATTCAACTATGTATGTGTAAAATCATGAATAACTGCCGCTAAAAATGATAAAACAATGAAGACGATGAATTTTTTTTTCAAAAACCGCTGGTAACATTTATTGTAAATATATGACTATAAAAACATATCGTGGTAAATACTTTGTATGGAGATCAATTAATTTGTAGTATTCAGAAGGAGTTGCAATACACAGTATCATACTGCAAACAACATAATTAGGACAGTGCATGAAAAATTAGGTCAAAACATTTCAAAAAAACATCTATTTTGATTAATGACAGACAAACACAACGCGTGAACTCAAGAACTGAGACAAGTTCGTAACAAAAAAATGCACAGATCAGACACTGTGTAGTGCAAAAAAAAACATAAACAAATTATTCACAAAAAGTGTACAAAATAATACTTCATAAATACGGTGCACACGTGCAGACCGGACGCGCAGAACTTGCTACGTCTAGTTCTGCACTGTATTGCCCCGCGTGATATTTGGTTAGACACTCCACTGGATTCCACGACACCGGTTTCTGATAAGACCGTCACCGATCAATCTATCACTCGTGATCCCCGATGTGGTGGAAGCATCGCTCCTTCCCGCTGACTGCCAGCAGCTTACACGGGGCGCCGGCCTTTGTCGTCGCCGAGCAGTGCACCCTGGGAATGCCCGTGATCGACGACCTTGAGGGTGACCTGACGGCGCTCATGCTTAGACTTCTACCCACCGACCTGAAACGAGATTGCGAGACACTGCAGAAACCTGCATAAACAAGAGTATGCTTATACGCTCTTGGTATAAACTCTGTAATAGCAAGGGGGAATGATGATCGACCAATAAGAAATACTGAAACGAATAAAGGAAACT